TAATTATTGAGAAAAAAAAAACCCTTCCAGAAATATCCTAAATAGTAACTGGTACCTTCCTGTACTACTTGGCTACATATAAAATTCTGACGTGTTACATAAACATGAAGTTAAACCACAACCTTTACGCTCCCATTTCTAGGTTAACATTAATTATACTGAAATAGGTATCTGGAGTAAGACAGCACCCAGCCTTACATAGTTCAGTTGTAACTCCAAGTAGACCTGACGCCGGAATTCTCTGAAGTTTACAAAGTTAAGGATGCCACTCAAGAAGCGAACAGTCCTCTTTGTTTCTGAAATAGGAATTGCAAGGTATCACTGTGCTGGTTTCCATATGCATTGCAATTGCTTATGAAAACTTGGGCAAAATATAATTCAGAGAAGAGGCAGAAATTACAAAACAGAATTCAAATTATTTCTTCCCCTGCTCACCTTGGAAAGATTTCAGACTACACAAAAACTAGCACCAAGCTAGTTGGAAACTCTTAGCAATTCTGTGCAATTCAGCAAATGAAAAATGGCAACTGGGAAAAAGACTGTTAACACACAGCCTCCCATTAAGACAGAAGGTAGGGAGAAGGAGTGTCAATCTTGAACTACAGCTCCGAGGAGAGAACCTCTCTGTAACTCTCAGACTAACTGAAGGCAGCAACTTGAACTGCAGGGACTTTTTGTGTTTATTCCAAGCAATGTGAAAGATTATTACAAATATGTTTTATTCAAGACAGATCCAGAAGTGAAAGAGTTCTTCCCAACAATCTTTTCCAAGTTGTTTGTGTTGTTGCAGAGTCACCACAGCTGGGTATTTAAAAGGGTGAAGCAAAAATCCAGTCACTTCCTACACAGGCATCAGCATAAGAAATCCTACAGAGTTCCAAAGTTGTCAGGGTAATTTTCATTACCATCTATTCTTACACTATTTTAAGTGTGTCACAGTCCACTCTCCAGACCAGCAGTTCAACAGACTCATAGCATTTAAAGCTGCCCTCAGTTATTGACCCGGATCAGCCTACAAAAGGAATAAGAACTGCTCAGTAGAACCAACTTGTCAAAGGGCCACAACAAGAGTCAGAAGAGGAGCTGGAACCCAGGGACCATACTAGATATCCATCTGGTTATGCCAAATAAGAAAAAGCACCTGGATATTAAGCAACACCCACCACCCCAGGAAGCCCAAGAATTATAATGCACTTGCTTACTTGGGTTTAAAACATCAGCAATTTGGAAATCATTAATCCGGCACACCGGCAGCAAGCGCTCCCTGCAAGGAAAACAAGACACACCTCATCTGTGGTGACCATTACTCAGTTTTTGTGCCATAACCATTTACTACAAAACATATCTTGTCTTCTCATCTCAGAGCATTTGCACCACAAGCACAAGTCTCAGGAGAGTAACACAGCAGGACTCCACACACTGATCAGCATTAATAGTTTGCATTCTTACAGCACCTCAGATATTTCAATTGACAAAATACTTGCCTGTAGAACAACTTTTCAGCTTAATTAGGGAACTCCTACACCTAACTATTAGTCAATTCTCCCCTTACAACTGAAATAAAGCTTAAAGTCTAATACTCACATGATTCCAACAGACCTCAGACAGCAAATTTACACAACAGGAACATAAGATCTCTGCTCTAGGTAATGATGACCCTCCAGCCACTCCAAGTATGGATTTGTGCTCCAACTTGGTGAGGCTGGATTATTTAACCCATTCATTTTTACAAGATAGGAATTTTACTCTATCAAATATTGCTGCCCCCTGTTCATTTGCAAATTTCACTTTGCTCAAAGCCAGCAAGCAGTGGAATCACCATCAGCACAAAGACATAAAACCCCAAAGCTTTTAAAAACTTGGACTTTTACAAAAAATAGCAACTGAACCGATACAGCATCTTTTACTTACATGTGAATATACAAATTGCAGACAGGTAGAAAGCCATCATATAACTCTGGATACATTATGTCAACGTTGACTGGCATCTAAAGAGTAGAGAGAGTCAGTGCATAAGTAGAGAATACTTATAACAAAAATTACACAGGTTTCCACAGCATAAGATAATTTCAATAGGTTACACACCCTGAGGATTGTCTTCCCATGCACAGGGAACATATATTAACGGCTGAAAAGTGTCATCAAGTTAATCAGTGTCATTTTTGGCCAAAAAACATACAAGACAACAATAACTAAAGCAGCAACATTACAAACTTTGCAATTCAACCTAAACTCTGCTTTCATTTGTTCATAACTGGTGCAGGACAACAGTCTCTGCATTACACACCTACCAGCAAGAAGCTTTTTCTTTAAACAAACCAAAATTGACACACTCAACTGTTTTATGAGGAAGTCAAAATGAGAAAGTAGTGGTACACTGTCACATTTTTCTTATATTTTAAATCTCACGATACAGTATCCCAGGTAATGTCATGCCCTGTGAAGAACAGTTACCTTGCACACGTAAACTGAAAGGGAAAAGCATATCCAAAAATGCCATGAGACAACACTATTTATTCTCATTTTCAGGCATCAGTTCCTGCCTAACATAGACAGAAGACCAAGTACCTTGTTCACTACGAGTTATCAGCCTCCCCTTACTTTCCTCTCAGTTAATGGAGAATGAAGATGATCAAACATTAAAAGCAATACTTACTTTCCTCCTAGATCAGTCCAACCTCCTCCAGCTGTGGCCAAAGGCAGTTGCCCAAGGACACAGTATGTATTTTCAAGGCTGGACATGGTGTCCGTTCTTAAGCTTGTCCAGTTCTTCCTGGACTTTACAGACCTTTCTGGCACCCTCAGCATCTCAAATAACAAAATTCACAGCTTAACCACAGAAGGAGAGGGCTCTCCAAAGCCTGTCCTCACAGCCTACAGAGGTAAGTGAGCTCCTCCTCATGCTCACTAGTTCCTGTAGTGAAGCAGGGAGCCACTTTCCATGGAAAAAATAAAAAAGCAAACCTAGAGGCAGCACAGCCACAAAACCATTATTCCTACAGGTATCTTGAGCTGAAATTAATATCCAGATGAGGAGCAATGACCAAAGCAATGACCAACTTCTTGAGGCCTCAGCAACAGCCCACAGATGATGCTCCCAGGTTCATTTACCTCTGGTTAACGAGCCATGCAGATGGCTGTACTGCAGTACTGCAATCCCATTCCTGTCTAAGAAACTGCCCTGAACACAAACTCAAATGCCCGTGGCACTTCACACACAAGTTTTCTGCAACAGAGGCAGAATTCCTAAGCACCCATTGCTGCAATTACAACACACAAAATACCAGGCTGCTTGCCATTTGCTAGTGAGAAACTTCAACACTTCTTAAAGGCAATATTCCTTTCACATTCCATTACCCTGCCACCACAGCCATACCACGTAGAAGTGCTCCAGGTTGATTGCATACACTTTCTGCAGGATTCTCATGTAAATCAGGTGTAAAACGTCAAGCTGCAGGAAGAAAGGACATGAATCAGTATTCCATATGTTTGATTATTCAGGGCTCCCAGGCTAGGCCATAAAACTAGCTCAGCCTTTAACACAGGGAGGCCGATTTCACTGAGCCACCAAGACAAATAAGTTTCACTTTTCAATATTTTGCAGTTCAAGCAATACTTGCTCATGATTCAGTTTTAAGGGACAGCAGGCAGCTCAGACAAGTACAGTGACTATGTATGCCAGGCCCAGTTTTCATTACATTATTGCTCACTGAGCAGTTTTCAAACCAAGTGACACCAAAAACCTAAAAAAAAAAAAAAAAAAAAAGGTCACAGAAGCTATAATCTTGTAGCAAAGAGTGCCTTTCATCACAATATTAAAATGAACGGGAAAAAAAATACCTATAAGCCAAATAGTTTTTCATTTATAGCTCTAATCCATTATCAATTTTGTTTCTTAAAAACCATCATCCTGTCATTTCTTAAGCAATTAGGGCCAGACCCCTCCCTCCACAGGCACAAGCACAGGGAGCCACCTTGAGGCATCAATTCCACTTTAAAGCCACTTTTCTTCCGCTGAGGACACTCATTAACAGCAACATTAATGGTCGGAGCGACACAAGAAGAAAGAGGGTGAAGCAGGGATGGGTTTAGAAGCCGGGGCCGGTTGAAAGCACTGATTTATCAGCCAAACTGTTGGAAGTATGAGACTTTACAAACCACTGCGGCTATTTTAACCTAGTTCCCACAGAACTGGGAAAGACAGGCGGGTACTGTGATGACACCACCCCCACTTCCTGGCGAGGGCCGAGAGGCGAGGAGAGCCCCGGGACTCCAAACCAACCCCGGAGCACCCACCCCGCGGTGACACAGGCCGGGGCAGCGCCCTATGACACCCGGGGATGGAGCGGGGGGAACACACGGAGTCGCCCCGCGCCGCCTCACCCACCTTGGGGGTGCCGAACAGGTCGGTCTTGACCAGGTTTCGGCCCTCGGCGCCCGTCAGGACGTACGTGCGGAGGGAGTTGATGATTTCGTCGGGGCTGTAGCGGGGGAAAGTCATGGTCTCCATGGCGGCGGCCATGGAGAAGGAGGGACAGCCCGAGCCCCGGACACAACGGCCGCGCCGCCGCCCGCCCGCCGCTTGAATGAGCCGCGCACCGCCCCCGCCCTGCCCGCCGGCCTATCAGCGGCCGCGCCGCCGACGGAGGGGCGGGGCTTGGGGAGGCCCAGCCCTATCCGTGGCCGCGCTGTCGCGGGAGGGCGGGGCGTGGTTTGTCGAGGCCCCGCCCCCGCCGCGGCCGTTGGCCGTGAGGGGAGGGGCGGGGCCAGCGCGGTGCGTTCGGTCGCGGCTGCAGCGGACGGTCGTGGAGGATCACAGCGTGCTTGGGGTTGGGAGGGTCATTGAAGATCATCTCGTTCCAGCCCCCCTGCCATGGGCAGGGACACCTCCCACTAGACCGCGTTGCTCCAAGCCCCGTCCACTCTGGCCTTGGACACTTCCAGGGATGAGGCAGCCACAGCTTCTCTGGGCAACCTGCACCTCACCACCCTCACAGAGAATAATTTCTTCCTAATATCTAATCTTAGCCTCTCCTCTTTTAGTTTAAAACCATTCCCCCTTGCCCTATCACCATCTGCCTGTGTAAAAACTCCCTCTTTTCCATAAGCCCTGGATAAGGCTTAAGTAATAAGTACTGGAGGGCTGCAATGAGGTCTCCCCATAACCTTCCCCAAGCTGAACAGCCCCAGCTCTCTCATCCTGTCCCCTTCCTTTGCCAGAGTTGCTCCAGCCTTCTGGGCATCTTCATGGCCCCTCTGGACCCACTCCAACAGGTCCACATTTTCATTGTGCTGAGGATCCTGGAGCTGGACATAGTACCCCAGGTGGGACAAGAACCTCCTGGCTCCTGTAATAAGACGATGCCAATCCAGTGCAGCATTGCATGGGGCTCTGTCCTAATCAGTAACCAGTGAGCCCCTACTGCAGTGTGACACCATTTCTGACAAAATTTGCACTGTTCACTGCTCTCCTTACACAGTTTCAGCGCTCTTATCTCACACACAGCTTCCCACACCTCCACTCAGCTGGAAGCAGGTCAGCAAGGTCACAGCACTGTCCCTGAAACCAGGCAGCTTCTGCAAGCCACTGACATCACGGAGGTGTCACCTGGCAGAGACGCTCCAGCCACTGTTCCACACTTGCCGATGTAAAAACCGGGCTCAGTTTCCAGCTGGGCACTCTGCCAAGGGGTCAGATGAAACACGGACACAAAGTGCTTCCCAACAGCCTTGCAGCCGGACACCTCCTCGGCATGGCTGTGAGGGTAGCGCAGCTTTCATAGGGCGGCTTGCAGCCCCCAAAGGGCTGAGCGGCCTGGAATGTCTCAAACCATGTCTCCTTTGGGTAGACCGCGGCCCCTGAGCCTCATGTTTCTTTTGGGGATGGGGATGGCATCAGGGAGGATCAACTGCCCAAGGAGATGTAGCTGTCAGTACCTGGAAGTGAACTGCACTGGGCAGCAGTTCCAGGAGTTCCCCGCAGACATCCCTCTGGACACCAGGCAGCTGATTCTGGCGGCAAACAATGTCTCGTACCTGCCGGCAGTGGAATTGAGCTTCCTGGCTGATTTGGTGTACCTGGACTGCAGCAAGAACCTCTTGGGGGATGACCTGGATTTCACTTTCATTGGTGTGGCCAAGCTTGTTTATCTGGACCTCAGCTTCAACAACCTCACCCAGGTCACCTTCAGCACCTTCTCACACCTCCTCAGCCTGGTGGTGCTGAAAATCTCGGACAATCCCAACCTTGTGGCCATCGAGAAGGATGCTTTTGCCAACAACACCTGGCTGAGGCACCTGGATGTGAGCCGGACAGGCTTAACATTCCTGGACACCAGCACCATCCGGGACCTGCCCAACCTGAGGTTTCTGGGGCTCAGTGACAACCTGTGGCACTGCAACTGTTCCTTTTTGGACTTCATCACCTGGATGACAGAGAGCAACGTTCATTTTCCAGGTGAGGGCTGTGTGAGCAGAACCTCTCTCCTCCCTGCTCCCACAGATCTGTGTGGAACAGAAAGGGCCCTCTGTTATCTTCGCCCAAAGTTCAGTTTATGGGGCTGTGCCACTGCATGTCATCTGAGGGCTCCATCTTGTGCTGTTGCACAAACCAGGGGTGGGAGCAGTTGGGTTACACACCCTCCAGAGTTCATTAAATGCCCTCCACATATGGGGAATCACACTTGCTCGCATCCTCAGGGCAGTCAGGGAGGTGTAGTCTGTAGATGGGATATTCCTACTGCTCTAAAACACCTGGATCCAGCCTCAGGTGTCCCTGTCCCTGTGAGTCATCACATCCCATGGCTGCAGTGCCAAGGATGAGGATACCAACAGAGCTCCGGGAAAATATGCACTGGGAAAACTGCTGTTCTGAATTTGCTGCTTTATCTCCATCCCAAAATCAGCTATTTCCTATCATATTGAATGATTCTACAACTGGGCCATGGACGGGCTGAGGCAGGGTGATCACCAGCTGCCTTTCCCAGAAAAACGGTGGTCCCAAGGGCAAAGCTTTGTTCTGCAGCTGCAGCACATGAACTTGGTTTTTCTAAATAGGAAAGAAACACAACACAACATGAAGAAAAGAGGAAAGCTTCATGTTCAGTAATGCAGGACATGATGGTGAGAGAGAGCTGCAAGAGAGAAATTGTTTGAGAAAGTCTGTCCATTGAAAAAGAAAGGGCCACGAAAGAGTCCAAGGGGACAAATAGGAAGGGCAAATGGAAGCTGATGTTAGGAAAGAACCAAATTAAAGACATCTCTGTGTCTTTATTAGATGTAGTAAGCTCCCTATTTTGCACTAAAGTGGGGTTTTTTCCATGTACAGGTTACAAGCAGTTATGGAACAGTGTAATAAAGTACAGTTCTTCGCAGTGAGATTAGAGATAACCCACTGAACCCTGCAACAGGAGATTAAAGCTCATTGAAGCCAACTGGGGAGGGTAGGAGCAGGAAAGGCAGTGACAGCAAAGACTGGAAGGTATGAGTATAGATCCCTACCCTGTGCTCTGGAAAACAGGAAAGCCAAAGAAACCAAGGAAGCCAATGAGGCTGGTTCACTTCCCTGCTCTATTGAGCTTTGCTCTGTCCTGGTGAGATGCTGTGGGAGAGTCCACAGGAGGCTGTGTGCCTCCAGGAGGGCTGCTGGAAAGCATACACAGGATGGACACCCTGTATCACAAACACATGGGCAGGGAAAGGCAGCCCTAAACCGAGGGTTGTTCCAGGAGCTGATGGATCCAGTACAAAGGGACATGGGGACAGAGCCCTGGAATCTGCTGCAAGAAGATCCCCACCTTGGCCTTCAAAAAGCTACTGATGCTTCACGAACGCCTGTGCACCCATGTTTTGGGCTCAGCTGGATCTGTGCAGCCTGGGGGCTGGCACAAAGCTGCCCAAGTTTGGATGGATTTGGGTAAAAGAGAGATAAGAGCTCTCAAGTTTTACCCAGGACAATTAGTGAGATCAGTGTGAACAGCAGTGATGTCACTCGGCCATATACAATATAACGTCATGTGATATAAGTCTCCCGTGGCTCATTCCCCTCCACTCCTCCCTTTCCCTGAGGCTCTTCCATCCCGTGCACCACACAGTGCCCAGCCTATGTCCAGCACAATGTCTGGGGGGTTCCAAACCTGCAAAGGAAGGAGGGGGCCATGTCTGAGGGCACACCCAGCTTCCATAAGGCACCACACTCACCCTTCACTAACCTGAGAGGGAACAGCCAGCACCTGTTTTATCACTGCAGGTATTCAATATGACAGGGTATAGTTGTTATTTCAGTGGAACTGAATCATTGATGAGTTGCCTCTGCCTCTCTCACAGAGCAGGCAAGGCTGTGCCTAACTGCAAACCACCCTAGTTGTCAAATGAGCAGCAGCCTCATTATTCTGGCATAATTTAGGCTGTATCACTTGAGAATGTGTTTGAGAATGAGAAAACCAACACACACAAGTGCTCTCACATGAAGATTAAAGTGCTCAATCAGCAGAGATGAGCAGTGCAGGGACAGCAGTCTGTTGCAGTGGCATAATCCAGTGGGCAATATTTTCCTGTGGAGGCAACACCACAGAAATCATTCTGGCAACCCAGGAATTGTGGTTTGGCATGGGTTTGGCTGTTCAGATTTCACCCAAGCCACGGAGACAGAGGGGTGTGAAGTGTGTATACATTTTTCAGGCATCAAGCAAACTCCTCCACTATTTCTCCAGCAGGACTCCTGTTCACTAAAGCTTTAGACACAGGCTGCAGAGTCTTACTTCTATTTCTCCCTCTGCAGATGCTGACAACATCACCTGCTACACCCCAGAAGGCCTGCGAGCCCTGAGGATGCAGGCAGTGGAGGCACAGCTTCACTTCACCTGCCTGACCCAGCTACACAAGACAGACTATGTCTTTCTGTGCCTCGTTGGCTTCTGCATATTCCTTGCTGGCACCATCACAGCCTGGCTGGCCGGCATCTGTGCTGTTATCTACAAAATCCATGCTTCAAAGGGAGAGGAAGAGGAGGAAGAAGAAACAGCCACTTAGGACCAGCCCTTCTGAACTCCCATTGTGGGAACGAAAGGCAGGCCCTTCCTGCCTGATTTCCCGCATGATGTCCCACTCTAGATGCCTTTTTTTTTTTTTGGTAGTGGAATAAAACTGCAAGAGGAGGAAGTCTCTGTGCTTCACTTTCACTTGCTGTGCTACTACCTCCACTTTTCTTCTGCCACTGGGACTCAGGACATGAGCATAATGTTCATTTTGGAGGGAATAGTGAGAGGTGTGCACAGTGCCAGGCATTTCTACTCCTACTTTACCTTGAGACCACAGAAAAGTAGGGACACAGGCACTGGCTTGACTGAAACACGGGAAGGGCCCTGGCACTGTGCTGTAGTTAGGGATGTCACCAGTTTCTTCCTGGCCAGAAAGACCAGCAGAGCTTACTGGAAGCAGCCTAGAGAGCTTACCGGAGTCCCAGGGAATCCAAGAACTTTCTGCTGTGGAAAGGCAGAGAAGTTAAAACCAGGACTTTTAGGGGTCCAGAATCCCACTGGTTCCTACTTTCTTTCCCATTACACCAGTGACAGCAGAAGAACCCTCTGTCCCTCTGCAGCCGGACCCCCTGTACCTCCTCCGCTGAATTATGTGCATTTACAGCACTGGAAAGTCCAGCTCTGGCTTGGTGTCAAATAACCCTAAAATAGGATTTATTTTTTTTTTAAGTAAAAAATATTGCTTACACATTCTCCAAGTATTCTTGGAAATGGCTTGTGTGTCAATGTCAAAATGCCAGGATTGCATCTACAGACCAGGATAAAATGAGATGTAAGCAAGCTCCCTCTTATCACTAGCACTGGGAACTGCCAGGGGAAGTACCTGCTTACACAACCAAGCATGGCATCTCCACGCGTGAAACACTGGCTGCTCCATCCGGCACTAGCTGGGTCTGGTGAAATGAAAGGGAAAAGCAGGAGATTTCAGCAAGCACCGTACGAATTACCAAACTTAGAGCCATTAAACTGCAGACTCTCAGAACGAGAGCTGAGATCTGTCTAAGCTCTAATGGGTATGGCAAAAAGGGCGAGGAGCGGGCGGGGCAGCGCTGCGGGATAACGATGTCTGCGTGTGCTAGGGACACGCGCAGAGCTGCCGGGGGACACCGGCACGGCAAATCCCTCTGCAGAGCCACAGGGATCCCTATCCCGCTCTTCTCTCGCAGTGAGACTGATCGTGCCTGGCCGAGCCCCGGGCCCCGCCTGCGGGCGGTGCCGCGGGCAGCCCGGCCCCGCTCCCACTGCCGCCGCCGCTCCTGCTCAGTCCCCAGCTCCGTCCCCGGCTCCGTCCCGCAGCGCGCCCAGGGTGAGTGCGGGGCCGGGCACCCCGGCAGCGGGGTCGGGGGGACGGGGGGGATGCTCTCAGGGCTTGGTTATGCAGGTTATCCCGATGGACGGTGAGGAAAATGGAAGAAGCGCCGGGGACATCCTCCCACCCGAGGGAGGTTCCGGGGGAAGGTGGCTGCGGGACGAGCGGGGCGCGGGGGTCTGCCTGCCCACCCACACGGGCGGGTTAGGCTGAGCCTGGCCCCGCCTGGCTTGGGAGGGCTCAGCCTTGGGAGCGAACGGGGGGACGGGACGACAAGGGGTTCTCCTGGCTCGAGAGAAAGCCTGGAAAGCCTGGGATTAAAACGGGAAATCCTGTCAGAATCTGCGCGTGGGTCTGCTCGAGGAGCCTTAATGCGCTTTGCTGACTCACAGTAGCTGCAGTGTTATGGTAAACTTGGGAAGAACCCTTATTCTGCAGTAAAAGCACCTCTGGGAGCACTGCTGCTCCCGCTCTGTGCCCTGTCGTGCTCCAGAATCTCTTGTTCTTGTGGCTCCAGCCTGAAACATCGCTGCATGGAAAGTAGAAATCGAGTCCTGTGCCCGTGACGGTGCATGTCAGCAAAGCCCTTGCAGCTGGGGACAAAGGTTTCAGAAACGCTCCGGGCACCAGAATCCGGAAACGATCATGGGGGAGAGACAGAAAGTCCTGGGTGACTTTGGAGTGCTCTATATGGGTCCAAATCAATAGTGCAAAGGCTTGAGGTACACTTTTATACCACTAGTGTAGGAATAGCAACTTTATGACTCAACTGGCTTAATGCTTTGCTGAGCTCTTTGCTCCCGGAATAAACCCCCAGATTATAATCTAATGCTGGAAGATAAAATGCCTGGTTCTCCAACAACCTTGTAATTTGAAGGGGGAAATGTGACCATCAACTTGCTCTACTAGGTGGGAACATGTTCTATTTTCAGTGTGTCATCTATCAAGTGCTAACCTCAATTACAGGTGCATGCCGCTGACTTTTCTTTATTACTTTAGGCTTTTAATGTTCTTACTGATAATTTTTTTACCAAACTTCATGCGGACAAAGCCAGCTGTTGTCTTCACCTTGCTCCATCCATAATAATCTCTATGCAAACGAGAAATAAAGCTCTCTAGTCCCCGAAGATCCGTTGTGAGAGGCACTGACATTGCTGCAATAGGAAGGCTGTTTGCACTGGTTCTGTGAGGTGGCCTGTTTTCCCCCTCACTGACAGATTGTGCTGGGGGGAGAGAGCAGAAGACACCAAAATCTCACAATATCGTGCAGTCGCCGTCTGGAGACAGGCGCCAACTGGTGTTTGGTTTGGAGAGGGAATTATCTTGGTGCTGAAGGGAAGTCTCTTCTGTCTTCTGCTGAGCTGTGTCATGCAGCACCCTCTTGGGTCACCCAGAAAACCTCTGAGGTTTGGAATTGTGCGAGATGGTTGTGGGGAAGGGCCCTTGTGCTCTCTTGCACTGGGAGAGAGCCGGAGCGCTCCGTGTTGAGCAGGGCAGGCTGATGGCAGGACGGGGAGCGGGAAACAGGGAGAACATGCAATGCTGGGCAGCATGGCAGAGGCTGCAAGATGCTCCTCATGCTCTGATTCTGTCTCAGGCTGCCTGAGGAAGCACAGAACTGTTTAACAAAAGCCACAAAGGCCCTGGTATCTCCTGCCACAGAGGTGTTTGTGCAGATGTCGGTAACTGCCAGCAGCTGTTTTGTGACTGAGAGGGCTCCTGGGAACTGTGGGGCCGAGCATTGCTTGTCTGGCCAGTGCCTCTCTACCCAAAAGGTTCGGTTACTATTGCCATTGTGGTGCGGTTTATTAGTATTCACCTTAATGGTACAAAATAACCATTCATGTAGCCCAGCTGCTTTCAGCTCAGGGGGTTTCTGAGCTAGTTTGTATTTCTCTGTATCATAATGTCCAATTTACCTCTTGTTCCCAGAGCTTGCCCAGTTTCCTGTTGAGTTTATGAGGACTGCCTGCATTCACATTGTGCCTTAGCGAGGAGTTCCACAGGTCTGGTTCCCACTGCATGAGAAAACACCTGTCTTGGTTTGTTTCCAGTTTGTTCCCTGACTTCATTTGGTGGCCCCCAGCTCTGAGGTTGGAAGGTGGTCCCCTAGCTCATGAGCAATCAGTTTTTTCTCCCTGCCTCCAGAGTATCCCTGCAGCACAGCGCTGTGTGAGCTGATGGGACACAACCAGCACAGTCAGAGCTGATAGGACACACTGCTGGCTGTTGTCCTGCTCAAAGCCACAGGCTGGACTAGTGTCCACCAGACACCACCTGCCACCAATGCTTAGGTGATTTTAAGGCTTGCTTGACAGGAACTGTGCAGAAAGCTCTTGCTTTTGTGCTACTTAACGCCCAGCTGGCTCCAAGAGCTGAAAGTTCCCCCACTCACCATTTCTCTCTTCCTTCAGCCAGTCCCCGTGCTGGGAGGTCTTGGATCCATGCTCAGCAACTCTTCCACGCATGCATATCCATGCGCTGCACGCTGCCAATTCTCCAGTCACACCCCAAAATATTAATCTGCTCCCTCTCTCTGACAGCACCAGGATGGCTGTTCTCTCCAAGGAGTATGGCTACGTCATGCTGACTGGGGCTGCCAGCTTCGTCCTGGTCATGCACCTCGCCGTGAAGGTGGGCAAGGCCCGCAAGAAGTACAACGTGGATGTGAGTGCTCAGGCTGAGGGGATGGGGAGGTTGGAGCCTGTCTGCTGGGGGTGCTGCAGACAGGCTAGGTGATACCTTGCTTCTTTTGGGGTGACTTGCTGAAGTTTCCTGCCCCACCACACAGATGCAGAAGGGATGGAGCTGTCATGGCTCTCCAGACAGCACAACAGAGCTCAGGATGTGGGACATCAGGCACTTGGCACCAAGCTGAGACAGCTTGGCAACACTAGTGGGCAAGAAACCACATGGCTGCAAATATGGCTGAGGCAGCATTGGGGGGTAAAGGAGTCATAGTGGAACAAAGTGATAGGAGGGTTTCTCAAACTCAGGGGGAGCATGTGAGTCCTGTCACAGGAAGTGTTTCAAGGTGACCTTTCCTCAGCATCCACTGAGGAGCCTCTAAGCAGGCAGGGCTGTGGGTTGGGTGGGGTCAGCCAGTGCTATTGTGAGTCAGGGCGATTGCATGCAGAGCTGCTGTGCCACTTGGCTCGAGCGCAAACCCTCGAGCTCCTTTGCTCTTTCACCATGGAAATGGCAAGCGGGAGTGGGCACAAGGACAGCCCCGGGTGCCTGTTGGGGTGATCTCACTCCTACTACATCAAGTCAGGATTGTAGCAAATGTACCCAGTGCACGTGGTGCACAGAGGGCTGGATTCGAGGCTCGGGGAAGCCTCTGCAGCCAGGCAGCAGCTCCAGCGGTGAGGAAGGCAGTGACCTTCAACACAGCTTTTGTGGGCCATGGGGCAGGAGACAGGCTCTAACCTGCCACAGCAAGCACCCAGGCAGCCCTGGGGAGAGGTGCTGCAGGGCACACTCCCTGTGCTGGAGAACAGGCTCCCAAGCCCAGACTGTGCCTGCTCATGTTTTGCTGCTGGTATTATTTTTTTGGCAGTATCCAACCATGTACAGCACAGACCCTAAAAACGGGCATATCTTCAACTGCATCCAGCGCGCACACCAGAACACGTGAGTAACATGCATGAACACAGGCCTAGAGACACACAGGGCTCTGGGCAGGGCCCACAGCTACAGAGGTGCAGCTGCCATGTGCTCCAGTTTCAGGCTCAGCACTAGAGTACAACACACAGCCCTGTAATGCTTAGCAGAAAGGCTGTGCTGGCTCCTTCCCGTGCCTTAAACCGTGAGATGGGTTGTGAAGCAGCCTCCTCTTCCCCAGTTCCCAGCAACTTGCTTCCATGGGTGGATCTTAGGACACAAGGAATCTTGTTTCCAGAAGAGCCTGCCCGGGTCTCCCTGGGGAGAGGCCAAAGTCAACCCTGCTCCTGTGGAGAGGCTGCAACAGCACATCAGAGGGGTGCTGGAGACACAACTCCTGGGTAGCGTTTAGCTGTGGCTTAGGGCACAAAATTGAAAGAGTGGGTGGGTGGCCTTGGAGACGTGCACAGGCTGGGGAAAGTCCCTAAAAGCCTGTGCATGCTCAGATCCCTTCTTTCCTCAGTCACAGCATTGAGCACAGAGACTCACAACAGGCCCAAAGAGCCCTTGGGAGGGGATGTTCGCAGCTTCTGCCCTTCGGGAGTGTCCTCCTTGTAAGCAACTTGAGCACAAACACCATCTCCTCACTTTTATTTTCAGGTTGGAAGTTTACCCCGCCTTCCTGTTCTTTTTAGCCACCGGTGGACTCTACCACCCGGTAAGTGACACTGTGGTCAGGTCTGTGTGACAAAACTCTGCTCTTGCTGCCTGACTTGGGCAGGAGGCCCAGTTAGCCCCTTTACTGGCCACAGCACAGCAGTGCCCCCTCTAAAAATGTACTTGTGCAGGGGAATCACAGGTATTTAATAAACTCATTACTGCTGTTGCAGCTACTAGACCCCTTTCCTTTCCCTAAGGGTGCCTTGCTGGACAAAAGGGAAGCATTCACAGCCTCCAGTCCACAAGTGGGAAGGGTCCCTCCATCCCTCCCTGCCTGGTTCTTCCAAGCCCTGCCAAAGGAGGTCAAAAAAGCCTGGATTATTTTTAACTGAAAGATAGAGACAACTCAGGAGGAAGCAAGTGTGTGGGAGAGGCCAACACCTTTATCTTTGCCCCCAAAAGACAAACCAGGCCCTTCCTGAATACTCCTTTTTGGAGAGGGAAAGAAGCAGCATAGGCACATCTGGAAAAT